TCTAGTCACAGCTCCGAGTCAACTACCCTTCGATTTCCGGTGAGACCGACTTACGAATACCTTTCACTCGCCTCTTCGATCGAAATAAAAAGTACTCCAACATCAAACTCATACCTTGTAGGATCTTCTTAATTAAAGTAATTTTTTTAAATTAAATATTTCGTTAAATAGTAGATATGAAGACCAAAATTGCGTCGCCTTTTATTTGGTTGCAATTTACTTTACCTGTATAGATTTGTTTTGACCTCACTTTCACAACTTGGTCTGGGCAACGAAGAGACCTTGTGGAACGTACCTAGTCCTGAGTCCTCTATAATAGTATTAATGATTTCCGGTATCGGACCAGTGACTTTGTACATTCCCAGACGTTTTGCCGACGGTGATGAAAACGATTCCCACAAAACGTCTGGGATTATACTAAGTCAATGGTCCGAAGCTGGAAATTATTAATATTATGGCAAAGGATGCAGGACTAGATACTCTACACAAGGTCTCTCTGTTACCTTGACCAAGTTGAGAAAACAAGATCAAACCATCACTTTTTTTAATATACTTAAAAGCTCTAAAATACCCTCCTTAAATTTCATTTAGCATCATTGTTCCTCTAGCTTCATGCTCCATCCATTTACACTTCTATCCAAATTCGCTTGAGCCAGCATAAAAAATACTTAAATAATGTGAATTAAGTTTAGATTATTTTTGCTCTAATGTCTCAGTAAGAGATAAACACTTATAATTTATTCATTAAGTGATATTTAAATAATTAAATTTTATAATGATATTAATGAGCCTGAGAGAATAATTGAGTGTTATATAAAGCATCGTTATTGAATGGCACTATACTTTGCAGGGAGTTAAACCTTACCTAAGACAGATATCCTACGTGATTTCCTGTTGGTCATGCTCTGGACTTTTTGAAAGTCTTCCGGAGTTGTGATTCTGGCCAGATCCCACCGGAGCTTTGACTTAATATATATAAACGTAAGTGGTGTATTCCTTTCCATATCAAAAGTTTCACTTAACTTCTGAATGGAAGACTGGTGGAAAAACTCTATAAAATTTTCCGAATGGAATGGAGTGCAGGAGTGATACAATAACGCTTATAACAGTTTAAAAAGGTCAGATGGCTATAGTGACTTACAATTGCTTCCTTTTTCTGGCTGTATAAAGTGCATTGTCTAGTAATTTTATTAGCGTAGTTTGATTTAAAGATTTGAGAAATAGCGCCTGGAATAAAATATACACTGGGAATAGAACCGAGTGAAATCGGTCAACCAAAAAGATAAGAAATGGATCTGCGGTACATAAGGGAGTTACAGAAACGAGGCCTAAGTCGGATCAGCAATTATAGAGGAAGGAGAATGGAGCAGGTTAAACTGCAGGTGGTATGATTCCACGCTGAACTCGCCAAAAAGGCACACCTCTCGAGGAGTGGAATATAAACAGGCCAAAAGTTGTGTTAGACGGGCTTGAGATTGGAGGGTAGTTAGTAGGAGATAAAGAAACCTTGGTTAAGGGATTGACGTCACTTGCCTCTTTGACAGGTTGTAGCTTGGTGCTGAAAATGCAAAGACGCTCTGACGATGCCGACTACGATGCGGGCGAAAGATCTGGGAATATAACAAGTCCACGTTTCGGCGCTGGAAATCATGATAAATACTATAGTAGAGGACTTCGGACAAGGTGAGTCCAACTAAGTTACCCTGAAAACAGGATCAAATTGTAAAAACAGAGTCAACATATTTCTATACATCGAAAGAAGTTTGTGACCATGCCAATGGGCAAATCATAGTTTTCTTTATACCTTTGATTAACGCATCGCAAATTTGAATATTTATTTTGACATAACTGTTTATTTGAGGCTTGTTATATGATATTATCCTCGAGGCCAGTTTTATGGAAGGCTGAGGGTCGGTGAAAATGTAATGCCCAAAGTACTAAATTTTTTGCGTAAAAATCCCAGTTAACTGAGGGTAATTAACATTTAGCACTCTGCGGTAGTACGCATTTTATCTGCCTTTTTAGGGCCATGAAAAGATAGTTAACATATGAGTTAAATATAGAGAGTAGGTCAATGAGCCAGCAGATGGAGAAAGATTAAACACGAGCTTGGACCATTTAGATGAAAAAGGAGTAAATTATCCATAGGATTTGTTGGCTAAATTCGTTGGTTGAATAAAATTATTAAGCGAAGGCTTCAGTATAAGCATCACCTTCTATTTTTATTATTAAGGCCCTCTGCAAATTGTGGTTGACCTGATGCAAACTGTGTAATTAAGGTAGGATTAAAGATTTGTATCACCTTACGGTATCCTTAGCTTATACAGACGTGGCCATTGTGTTTTTCAAACTAAAAGGTGGGATAGCGATTATAGTGATTCAAAGAGATAACAAACGACCTTCAAAGATAAAAAAAA